CAGTGGCCGCTCCCGGCCACCGCAGTCTCGACCCGCTGGGCTCCGGCGATCCTTCCGCCCAGCCTTCCAAGTAGCTGGAACTACAGGCGCGCGCCACCACGCCCGGCTGATTTTTTGATTTGTTGTGGAGACGAGGGCTCGCCAAGTTGCCCAGGCGGGTCTCGAACCCGCGGCTCGGGCAGTCCACTCACCTCGGCCTCCCAAGGCGCGGGACTACGGGCTGAGCCACCGAGCCCGGCTAGTATTTTCTTTTTCAAGGACTGCGAAGTCTTTTTCTTTTTCCTTCCTGCCTCTGAAGTTCCTTTAAATAATCGGGAAGCTCTTCGCCTGGGCCAAGATGCTTAAAGTGGTGGAAGCCGGCGCGGGGAGACACACGCCTGCAAGGCGGTGGGTACCTCGGTGCGCGCCCCCAGACTGGCCAATCAGGCACGCCATTTCCCGGCGCACGGTGATTGGTTTAGCCTGGGCATGTGACCCCCAAAGGATCCAATGAGCCGCATCCTGGGACTTTAACCGGCTTACTGGGAAAAGGTGCCCCTTTCTATTGGGAAGTGGAGAGGAAGATGGGAGCAGCCGGGGGCGTCTTCGCCACTCGGAGGAGAGAAATTGCCTATCCTGAAGCTGACAAGGGATTTTGCAGAGTTCGTTTCCTCTACCTGGAGGCTCTTCCTGTAGATATCCACTGTGCTCACTCCCTCGCTTTATTCGGGCCTCTGCCCAAATGTCACCTCCTCAATGAAGCCCTCCTTGATCAATGTTTTTCTCTGTTGTTGTTTTTATAGAGACAGGGCCTCACTCTGTTGCCCAGGATGGAGTGTAGTGGAGCAATCACACCTCACTGCAGCCCTGAACTCCTGGGCTCAAGTGGTCCTCCCACCTCAGCCTCCCGAGTAGCTGGGATTACAGGTGCCCGCCACCATGCCCGACTAATTTTTTTACCTTTTGGAGAGATGGATTCTCCCTATATTGCCTGGATTGCTGTTGAACACCTTACCTCAAATAAGCCTCCCATCTCTAAAATAGTAAAAAGGAAATGTAAAAAACAGCAACCTTTCTTATTGATATTAAATACGTTTTTAAAAAAAAAATTATAGAGATGAGGTGTCACTATGTTGCCCAGGCTGGTGTTGAACTCCTGGCCTCAAGTGATCTTTCCGCACCAGCTTCCCAAAGTGCTAGGATTACAGGTATGCGCCAATGTGCCTGACCTAAACAATCTTTTCTTTTTTCCACAACTACTCTGCTTATTATCATCTGACATATATTTGATGTTCTGTTATTCATATGCTGCCCTCACTAGTTTATGGGGGCAGGGATTTTTAACCATTTTGTTCATTGCTGTATCCCCAGCACCTATAACAGAGGCTGGCACACAGTAGACACTTAAGAAATATTTTTGTGGAGTAAAGAGAAAAACCAAGCTGAGAAACACTTCGTCTTGTGTTAGCCACAGGGTGCCTCTGTGCCTGAGTAACCCTGTACTTTAAAAAAACAGAAGTCACTGAGAAGCTCTGCCTCGGGAAATTGGCGTTTGGACTGTGTGTGTGTGTGTGTGTGTGTGAGAGAGAGAGAGAAAGGAAGAAAGAAAGAAGCAGAAACTGTACATTGTGATTATGAGCGGCAAAATAGCCCTGAAGTTAGGTGCATGGATTCAGAAGTCCTGTCACTCAGATTTGAACATCAACCACCTGCTTGCAACCTTGGGTAGGTTACTCAACCTTCCCTAGGCTCTGTTCTACATACATAAAATGGATAAGATGATAATGCCTACTCCAGGCCTGGCACAGTGGTACATACCTGTAATCCCAGACACTTTAGGAGGCCAAGGCAGGAGAATTGCTTGAGGCCAGAAGTTTGAGACTAGCCTGGGCAACATAGTGAGATCTTGTCTCTGTAAAAAATAAAAAAATTAGCCAAGTGTGGTGGCTCACGTCTGTAGCCTCGGCTGTGGTCTTGAACTCCTGGCCTCAAATGATCCTTCCGCCTCAGCCTCCTAAAGTACTGGGATTACAGGTGTGAGCCACTGTACCCAGCCTGTCTTAGGTCTTAATACTCACAGAAGAGGACAAAAAAAAATTTATAAAGTAGCAAATTGTGTACAGTCACTGGTCTTTTATCAGCCTTAGAGTCCTCTTTCTCCTCTCCTATCCCAGACAGTGCCTGGGCATTCCCTCATTATTGCTTTAGGGATAAAGTTAAAACCTTAAGGATGACTTTTTGCCCATTGACCAGAATTCCCCATTCCCCTATAACAGCACCCACATTTAATTTTAATTTATGTGCATTCCCAGATGCCACTCCTATGACTTGAAGTTCCTCTGTCAGCACAGGACCCAGACCCAGCTAATCAGCATATTCTATTCCTCATAACACAATGATTGGCCCAGGGGTGGACACATGACAGGAGTTGGTCCAATGAGCGTTTGCTCTGGGACTTTTGCTGGAACTGATGGGAAGGAGGGGCTCTGATTGCATGGAAGTGGGGAGCTGGTGGGCTGTTGGCCCGGCACTGCCCCCACAAGCATGAGCTTGCCCTGGAGGCAACATCAGTTACAATGTTAGTTGGACTACTGTAACAGAGATGCAAATAATAGCTTAAGTCAGGTAGAAATTTATTTCTCTCTTAGGCAACACACCAAGTAGCAGTAATCCAAGACGGTGCCTCTGTGGTCTCAGAGGCCTAGGTACTTTTCATCTTGTGGCTTAGCTCTTCAGAGGGTGTGAGCCACTTAATCCAAGATGATCCATTCATCTTCATTCCAACCAGCAGCAAACAGAAAAGGGGGACACAGCCCTCCCCTTTAGCGGCAGGCCCTGGCACTTTCTCACATCCTTTCCCTTTGTATCTCATTGGGCAAGATGTAGTCACGTGACCAGATCCTGCTGCAGGGTAGTTAGGACGTGGATTTTACTTGGGGTGGCCAGCTAGAAATCAGTGGTTTGATTACCACAGAAGCAGGTGACTGAATCTGGGGGGACAATGGCCTGTCTCATTCTCAGAGCAAATCAGAGCCAAGAGACAGTAACCAAATCCCAGGCTGGTCTTGAACCCCTGAGCTCAGGCAATTCTCTTGCCTCAGCCTCCCACAGTGCTGAGATTACAGGTCTGAGCCACTGCACCCAGCTGGAGACACTCATTTCCTTTTTCTTTCTTTCTTTTTTTTTTTTGAGTTGGGGTCTCACTCTGTTACCTAGGCTGGAGTACAATGGCATGCTCTCAGCTCATTGCAGCCTCAACCTCCTGAACTCAAGTGATCCTCCGGTCTCAGCCTCCAGAGTAGCTGGGACTACAGGTGTATGCCACCATGCCCAGCTAATTTTTTATTTTTCTTTTTTGTAGAAATGAGGTCTATGTTGCCCAGGCTGGTCTTGAACTCCTGGCCTCAAGCAATCTTCCTGCTCAGTCTCCCAAAGTGCTGGGATTATAGGCGTTAGCCACTGCACCTGGCAATTAATTTTCTTCTTTGCACATGCTTGTTTGGATTGGATTTTGCGCCCTTGAAGCATAAAGATCCCTGATTAATGCAGTGAGGTGTGAAGCCCCTAACTGATGTCCAGTGTAGTAGGAGCTCACAGGTGGGCATGATGTTGTTGTCGTCACTTGTTCTGGATGACCCTGCCGCTGTCCTCACCTCTGTGTTCTCCACACTTCCCCAGTACCGACAGAGAGCCCGCCCCGACTTTCCACGCTCACGGCCCTTATTGATTAATGCGTGATGAGTGTCTCTCATTCCAGTGGGATTTCACTTCTTCGCTCTCGCATTAGACAGCAGGAAAGAGGCATATGACCCCGGCTGTGCTGGGGGAGCAAGTCCCGACACCTCTCTGGGCG